TCAGCTCCACCTCAGATCATCAGGCATTAGATTCTCATAAGGGGCACACAACCTAGATCCCTCACATGTGCAGTTTAGACGAGGGTGCACCTTCCTATGAGAATCTCATGCCATCGCTGATCTGATGGCAGGCGGAGCTCAGGTGGTGATATGAGCGATGGAGAGCAGCTGTAAATACAGATGAAGCTGCACTTACTTGCCCGCTGCTCACATCCTCATCACAGGCCATGCACCTGTACTGGTCTGCAGCCCAGCAGTTGGGAACTGCAGCTTTAGAGTGACTTTTAAACAAAGGAAACAATAATTTGATATGCAGCTTTTTTGTTCGAATTTGTGTGGTTTGTATTATGAAGTGTTAGTGAAGATAATGACCTCCGTTTGGGACAGAGACATCTAGCATCAATACCTAATAAGCGGTTAGAAACATAGATGGTAGATCTCTGCAGCCAGTTATAGATTTGAGCTTGGGAGTCTTCAGTTCCTGGATGCAAGAGGAGTGGATGACATCAACTAGAAAGAAGAAACAGTGAGAATAAACGGGGTCCTGAGAAAGATGAGTGAAAGCGCGTAGAAGAGGAATCAGAAGAGACTGAGCGGTAAGAGTGGGGAGTAAGAAGGAACAGCAAAGCATGAGGTTGTGGGATCCAAGGGAAAGAAAGTTTCAAAAAGGTATAAATGGTAACAAAAAGAAAAGTCAAATGTATCAAAGCTTCAAATAGTAACTAAAAGTGTCAGTTACAACTGGTCAATGTGAACGTCATGGAGGACATCAGCAAGGAAAATTCCAGTAAGTTTTAGACTAAAATTTCTACCTGAAGAGGCTAATAGGAGAAGAATAAGGGAAGAAAATTTTTATAGAAAACTGAAGATATTTATCAGTAAAGAGAAGCCTAACACAGTGTGGTTGCTGGAAGTGATGCTGCTGGTAGGAAAGGACTATTTTGCTTCTACCTTCTTTGTAGGTGGCAAAGACTTGAGTATATGCACAGGCTGAAAGAAATACTCAGTAGATAGGGAAGTATGAAAGAGAGGGACTTTAATTCCAGAAGGACAGGTGGTACCATTAGCAGAAAGAAAAGAAAATGAAGAGAGGGAAGATGATAAGCTCAATTTCAGTGGAATATACTTCTTTATTACGTGAGATAATATAATATAATATGAGAGTAGATAAAATCAATAATTTGGGTATCCTTAGCTTCTCAAATTTGTTTCTGAAGGAAAATATTCATTGTTGTAAAGATTTAAGTGGGCAGAGGCAGAGGGTGAACCACTTTTACAACTGTTCAAATAGTTCAAAGGATACAATGTTACATTGTTAATATAAGATATAGATAAAGACATATCATATTTCAGATGATTTAAGGTTGACAGTTTCACCTCCAGAAATCTTCAATATGGCTAGAGGTGGTGACTTCAAATATGAAGTAGAAATCTTCAGGAGAAAGGAAAAATGTTCATTGTGTGCTAGACAGTACTCACTGCCTTGAACCTGGCACCGCCCAAAGTTCACCTTTGGCTGTTCAGATTAGAAACTGAAACCTAATTTTTTTTTTCTTTTTAGGGTTGTAATGAATAAGTACAGGTATTTGGGAAATTGTGTTTTTAGATAATTTTACATTGTACATCAGGGAACAATGCATAAGAAGGTATCATTCCCAATAGCAGTTCTATGTTTACAAATGACTCTTGATCATTTTTGTCTTAGTGAGTCTCATAAGTTAGGCATGTTTAAAATTGAGCATGTCATCTTGCCACACTTCTTTCCTTACCTTTAGTCCTTCCAGGATTAAAATTTCATAGTCACTTTTGTTTCTCTCTTCTGACATCAAATATAACATCCAGTCATCAAATGTTGTCAGAGCTCAGCTCAAGGCATCATTTGTTCAGACAAGTTTTAGCTAACTACCCAAGCAAGACTCGATTCTTTATAACACCCTGCCATTCACTGTTGGATGCTTATTTTGTATAAATAATGAAAAATTTTAATGTCAATTTCTATTGCTGCAATGTAGGAGAGCAAAGACTGTGTCTGCCTTATTCACCCTTAAGTCCGCAATCTTTGATAGAGTCTTGAACATAGAATTGTTTGAAGGCTATTTGCATAAATGAATAGTTCCTTCAGGTTGTCTCTCCTTTTGGTTCCTTTCTCCTATTCATTCACTGACCACTTTAGAACAAACTCTTACCCTTTCATAGCTATTTTAATATCCTGTTAATGATGCCTTTTACTTAGAAGATCTTCCTGCTCCAATTTATTCTTCATTATTTATACTGTATCACTCTGTTGCCAAAAAAAAACCCCTCATAATGACTCTCCAGGCTTAGAAATTAAAAACCAAATCCTTAAATTTTCAAATCTGGCACCAATAAAACTTTCTAAATTTACAAAGCTCCTTCACAAGAAACTTTCACCTTAGTAAAACTGGTTAACTTGCTACTCTCTACAAACTCCACTTCCATTCATACCAGTCCACATTCTCAGAAAGCATCTTTGCTGGGCATGGTGGCTCACACCTGTAGCCCTAGCACTTTGGGAGGCTGAGGTGAGAGGATTGCTTGAGGCCAGGAGTTAGACCAGTTTGAGCACAAGAGAGACTCCGTCTCTACAAAAAATAGAAAAATTAGCCAGGAGTGGTGGTGTGTGCCTGTAGCCCCAGCTACTCAGGAGGCTAAAGTCAAAGGATTGCTTAAGCCCAGGAGTCTGAGGTTGCAGTGAGCTATGATGATGCCACTGCACTCTAGCATGAGTGACAGAGTGAGACCTTGTCTCAAAAAAAAAAAAAAAAATCTTTCCCTATCTATTCTTGATAAACTAAGTGATTTTGATTATATCAAATCTCATTGCTTCCATATAGCCTTCCCTTTATCCTAGCTGGACAAACACAGCAGGTTGTATTTAGAGTCAGAGCCTGGTATTTGACTCTCATCTCTACTTCTGCCTGGGTGGCATTAATTTCTTAGCTGTGAAACAGGAATATTAACACTTACCCAAAAGGGATATCATTAGTAAATGAAATAATCCTTTTTATGTATTTTCACAGGATTTTGTGATTTTGTTTCAGAATTGACCAGCTTTAAAGTACATTTTGGGGGCAACTGAGCAAAGTTGCAAATAATCTGGATAATAGATGATATTTTGAAATTAGTACTAATTTCATTTTATGTGATAATGCTACTGTCATCATTTGACTAATGTCCTTATTTTTGAATATGTAAGGATTTAGAAGTAAAGTATTTGATGTCTAAATTTTACTTTGATATGGTCCAGCAAAAAATATCTAATCTAAGCTTTATGAATGCAAAAGCAATGTATGTCTGGGTCATTGTTGCATCTCTAATCCCTGATATAAAGTTTTTAGTAACAGGTACTTTTTATAAGTTGATATGTGCAGATGCGTGTGTGTGTGTGTGTGTGTGTATAATAGATAGGTATATACATATGTACATAATATGCAAGTACATGTATACACATGCATGTATGCAAAATATTGTAAAATATTTACACTTGTTGAATCTAAATAGTGGGCATACAGGTATTCATTCAACTATTATTTCTATTTTCCTATGTATAAATTTTCAAAATAAGTGTCTAATTGCTATCACATGTATTCATTTGACACATAATCTATGTGCCCAAAATATAGAGTACATTGTACATAGTGTGTGTTCAATAAATGTCATTTATTTTATTACAGTACCTATTTTCTGTCACTGTCACTTAGCATGTAATGCCTTATTTTTACCTTTTGAGTTAAATATTTTATCTCCAAGTATATAATATGATTCTAGAGGACTATCTTTCCCATGTTTTTACTTCTTTCTACTCATCAAGTTTATAGCTCCTTGGAAATAAGTAAATGCTTATTGGATAAATGAAAGGATATCCTTAATTTTCACTTGTAGGGGGAAGTTTTAATCAACCAAAGGACAAAGGACTAAACTCCTACCCTAGACCACCACTGATGTTCATTTTTTAATGGAAGAGTAAACTGGGAGCTTCTTGAGGGAAAAGACCTTATCTCAATGTTATTTTTTTAAAACTGATAGAACATAGAACTGTGCCTGCCAGACTCAATGGATGTTTGTTGACTGACTTAATAAACAACTGCCTGAATGAGTAACTATAAGAGATAATTATTTAAACAATTTCAAGATCCTATAGATTTTCATTAGAGGACATTGACCAAAGAGTAAATGGAGTATAATTCATTCTACCCCCTACACTGATCTTAAAGGAAGCCTTTATCATAATTGATTATTTAATGAGACTGAAAGACAGACAACTGAAAGCCATAGAGAAATCCCAAATAAAAGCTTGTGAAAATAAACAAGCAACCAACCAAAAAATAATTATTGTCATTTGCCAGAAAGCCAAAGCAAAGAAAAGAGATTAGGAAGTGAGAAGAAAGTTTCAACCAAAGATATTCAGATTCCACAGAATTTTAGAGAGGTCAGACCATGCAGTTTAACAGTCTTATTTTTCAGAGGATAAATTGTGAGCTATATGATTTGTTCTAAGTAAGAGGCTACAAATTTCCAGATGCTTATTAAAATGAAGAATGAAGGTACAATCACTTGAGTTACTAACTTGGCTTCCATCTATTACAATTTCCCTGAACACCAGAAGGAATGACTAAACATATTATTAATGTCGAAATAGACTTGGGCACACACTGAAAATTATTGAAAGATAAATTCTAGAATTATTAGCAGGGCAATATACTTGTCCTAGGGACACACAGATAATTCTCCCAGCCTAGTTTTATCTATACTCCAGAGAGAGAGAGAGAGGAGGTTTAATGTGGGCAGATGCACTGTGAGACTAGGAAATCAGACTCACTTCTGGGAAGAAAAATTACAATGATGAGAAATGTTGGGTTTAAAGTTTGTCTTCAAAGATGCAAAATAAAAGCAAAACAGATTTCAACACTGTTCTTTGGCACTGATTCAGAGCTCAAAGTTCTCTTAACAATTAAAATAGAAAAATGTGGTCTACTTACCCATTCTGTATGGCAGCTGTAGGGTCATAGGTCAGAGCCATGCCAGCCTGTACATAGATGGGGACAAGGAATAAAACAGCTATTAACATTTTTATTTTGGTGCCCCAAACATTTAGTACCCACGAAGACTTTTATCTATACTTTCCACAATTTAAGTTTATTTTCTTCTATATATTTCTCCCCTCTTACTGCCAAGACTAGCTTTTTTACTACCAACAAACCATAATCCTCCAGTGAATTGGGAGTATATATTATATATCCAGACAAAACAAGGAACAATGCAGCTTGGATGATTTCCATTTTTACTTCATAAACCATCCTCTGTCTAATCTGGTATTCTTATAATCTCTCACTATTGTCCAGAGCACCTATTGTACATCTCAAGGCATGGAAAAAAAGTAAGAATGAGTCCTGTAGTCGGGATAAAAATAAAAGCTACTTAAAATGCATTCAACCTTATGGAATAAAACATTAAGAAATATTTATTGTAAAATAGATCCTATGCCTCAGGGGTTTGTAGGTAATGAGTCACACAGAGCTTGTTCCATATCTTGCTAGTACCTTTCCTACTTAAAGTAGTAGAAAGGGGAGGTCATTTACATATGATGGAAATTCTAGGCCACATGGCTAATGAGGAGGTAGTTGTGCTTTGTTTCAAAGAATAAGACCATCTCTGAAAAACTACACTTCTATAACTGGCAGTAGTTTTAGAAAAAAAATGTATGTAAACTTTCTGACTGCTGATTCACAGGTTAACTCACCTCTTCGTATACATCATCATGTTTGCTCCTCACAACAACCCTATGAAGTAGGCAGGAGAAATATTTTTCTCCTTTTTATAGATGAAGACAAGGAAGCTTGGAAAGGTCAAGTGACTTGCTAAAAGTCACATTTGGAGGCAGAACCAGATTTCAACCCAAGTCTTCTGATATGGACTCCTTTCCACTCCTCTGCCATAACATTGGCCTAAGACTTAAATGAGACCTGAGTAACAACTCCAACAATACGGGGGATGGTTCTCTGTGGCTATGTGGACATACCATCCTTTGTTTACTGGGACTGTCTGCATGGTTATCACTTATAAATAGGAACAAAATGTACATGTAAATTAAAACTGCCCAGGTTGTCTCTACGCTAGATTGTTTTTCTTTTTCAAATTTAAAAGTGAATTAAAACAACAATAATTTCCTGGCTTTGATAGTGTACCATAGTTACATAAAATGTAACCACTGGGAGAAACTAAGTAAAAGGTACACGGGACCTCCCTGTACATTTCTCTTGCAACTTCCTTTGAAACTCTAATTACTTCAAAATAAAAAGTTGGGGGTGGGGGGGAAGGAAGTGAGCTTTGAGGACTTTTGTAGAAGATAAGATAAACATTTTATAAGAAAAAAAAAAGCTTTCATGTATTCCTTTTTTCTTTTTCCAGTGTGGCCGAAGGTGGTTTTCTCCTGGGCTTGTTGAATTCCGGGGATTTAGCGTATAACTGAAATGAAAATTTTCCAGCTTCTTAACACAGAGCCTTACATACAGTATGTCCTGCTGCATTCAAACTTAGATTGCATGCATTATTTTCCCTACATAATAATGTTTAAATTATCATGAAGATTGATATGAGGAACAAAGACATAGAGCCATATATGAATGGGATTGGTATAAACAGAGCATACATAAATTGAAATGGAGTTTGCTAACAAAATTTAGATGACTGCCAGAAGGTAACAGAGTTACAGTGAGAACACATGTTTAATGATAATTGCATGACTTCTTTAAATTTAATGATCTCACTCATGTTAAAGAAATATACAAACTGATAATATGACAATCTGGGGGACCGGGAAATGAAAAGAGAATAAAATGGCAGAAATGAAGAAAGGTTTTTGTTTGTGACCTTGAGACAAGCATAAAGGTAGTGGTGTCCACATGAATAAAGATCACGAGTCTGACTTCTTCCCAGGGATGGGGTCTCTGCCACCTGACGGGCAGGAGGTGGGTCCTAGGCAGAGCATGCCTCAGAATGGAGTTGTCGAGCACTAAGCTGAAACTCCATGGTCCTGTAATGGAGAGGGCAGCTGTAATAGCTGTCCATTTGGGGTGAGATTTCCTTCTTAGGAACATCAAACATCTCTTCCCTGACTTACCCAAGATGCCACACTGGAGGCAGAATGAAAAAAAGTGGGCTTTATATTCAATAGAGTTATGGTTATTTCATGAGAGATTTAGGATGACAGTCATATTTTCATCCTTCTAATTACCACAAATTGTTTAAGTCCTGGGACTTACAGGAAGCCTTCTCTAGTAAACCCACATTTATTCATTTTCTTGTGCTTATTTTCCTATAGTGCTCAGAGAGAAACCAGTGCTATCTAGCCCTTCTTGAATTATAAACTATCTTGAATTTTCTTTTTTTGCCATGTTATTGGTTCTGACCACTTTAGGTAAGAATTTCTTTTTCTCCCATTTTACTTGAATTCCTCATGGATTCAAGTTAACCAGTCAGTTCTTGCTAAGACTACAGCAAATACGCAGTAAACTCTATCTCTTTGTCCAATGATATTTGTTAATCAGAAAACCTAAATTGGCCAGCATGTGGCTGTAACCTAGCTTGAGTCCGATGGGAAGGGATCAACTGAGGTAGAGTCAAGACCAAGTCAGCAAAGCAAGACCCTATCTCTTACTAAAAATAACAAAACAGCCGCTTGGTATGCGGCGAGACACCTAGTCCAGCTGCTCCAAGGCGGCAGAATGATTGCTGGCCAGGAGTTTGAGGTGCGTGGAGCTAGGAGGCCATGGTACTCTAGTCACAGTCAACAGAATAAGATTCTGTCTCAGAAAACGAAAGGAGAAGAAAGAAAAAGAGAAGAAGAGAAGGAGAGACAGAGAAAACACACAAAAAAAGCAACTAAAATTTACTCATATCTCCAACTTAAACCCCCATGCTATCTTCAGAAATGGAAGACTAAGCAAGAGTTCAATAGTTTACAGTGAAGCATTAAGTGTTTGGAGTCAGACAGGCTGTTTAAGTATACTTCCAGCAGTGTACTTTTGGGCAAATTATTTAACCTATTTGAGCCTCAAGTTCTCCTGTTTAACGGTATATACCTAACCCACAGATTGTTGTGAATTTAACAGATTATTCTTGTAAAGCCGCCCACCACAGTCCATGAGAAAACACCATGCATAAATATGTAATAACAAAGTAATATGTGTCAACCAAACATAATGGTGTGCAGGGAAAGAGCTGGTGGTGATCAGATAAGGAATGTAGAGAAGGTATAACTGAACAGAGCCTTGAATGATGAGCAGGATGTCCCACAAATTGATAAGGTTGAAGCCAGTTCGCAAAAGGACATCAGCATGGAAAAAGTGTGGTAAAAAAAAAAAACTTCAGTATCATGTGTGGAGGGAGAGTGGGAAACAAGAATGAAAAAAGTAAGAGGAGAGATCTCTAACGCAGTCCTCCTGTAGCCACTGAACATTTTGAGCCGGAATGATGTACATTCAAAAAGTGATTGGGCAACGAAGAACAACGACCCTCTGAAACAAGTAAACCAAGAGATCACAACTGAGTAGGTACCTGGGGACAGGGAGGTGGAGAGAATCTAAGGTGAGATTGTCATTGCAAAAGGGTAGGGAATGAATACAAGATTCACCTACTTCATAATTTTGCCTAGGGACAGTTCTGCCTCTGAGTACCTTTGGCAAGAGGAGACAACAAGAGATAGTGTCAGGTCATATGCATTTGGTACACTGTGGGTAATAAAACAAGGCATGGGTTAAACAAAGGGTTTTTTGAACTTAACCCATTGGCTGAATATCACAGTACAGTAACTAACACTTGGCTACTCCTGCTTTTCACTTCATGTGTAACAGATTGTTGAGTTATAATTCTAATACAGTGTTAATGCAAATTTTGCATTCAATTTCCCTTTGTCTCTTTCCACAGAGGTAAAAAAAGAAATCAATTTTGTTGCTCTGTCTAATCCCCTTTATACTAAACTAGAACCATAAAATTATCATTATATAATCACCAAAAATGACGGCATGTTTACAAACTCCAGAGTCACACAAAAATAAAGTATCTTGAAACAAAATTAAACTGTCACACCACATATACAGAAAAGTGATGTTTAATCCTGTCACTTACTTTCAAAAAAAAAAGAAAACCTGTTTAGACTCAGAAATATTTTCCATTTTCAAGTTCACATTATTTGTATATTGGAGTTGTATATAATTTATTTAAAACAAAATGGGGCATTTTTGTCATTTTCAACAGCAGCTAAGTTTTGGCTCGGTATTTCAGCCATAATAGGATATTTTTAGGGCTTCCAGACAGGATCTGTACTACAAGAGCTAAATATTTTAGAAGAGTTTTAATGTTTTATTGGAGTAACTAATGTATCTTTATTTTTAATAAATGTGGAGGATTTAGTGAGACAAATCAGTTGACTTAGGAGCTAGATATTTGACATTAATAACTATAAATGCTTAGGTTATATCAAGGGGTAATAATTATGGAAATACTGCTTACATTGTACACATGAGAGAGTAGGCATTTCTACTTTAGAAAATCCCCTGAACTGTAATACTTGGTCTTATCTGGGGAGCAGAGAATCATTGACTATAACAAAGCCAGTAAGAAGAGGGGCTGACAGAATTGTTTTGTCATCTTTGAAACTGTTTTCAGACTGTAAGGTGAATGAGAATCAAAAAGTTTGAGGCAGTAAATTTTATACAAACTGATACAGACTGAAATTCCTGGAAAATCGAAACATTGATGTTTTAGCCTAATATTTTTCTTTTTTTTTTTTTAATATCTGCCTTGACATATCTGGATGAAATACAAATGAATAATTACAAGGATTTCCATTCTTCTATGATCAGAATTAAAACAACACTTTAGTAAATATGTAGTAAAGATTGTATATTTTAGTAAATACTGTATTAGCACAAGTTGCGTTCAGAAAACTAAAGAAAACAAAGATCATAGAGTTTTCTGGAAGTCATTCTTAAAGAGTTTACTTCTTGCAACCAATTTTAACAATAT